TCTCAAATGAGGATTTTTTTTTTTACATTCTTGTGGACAATTTGTATTAAGAACCTGCCATTCTGATGTGGAGCTTAGAAAATATTGCTTAATGGAGGAACCACATCATTGTTTCACTGTTTGCTAAAATGGTAACATTAACTACAATTTAAATGAGTAGTTCGCTTTAATTCACAAAAAGAGAAGGTTGAGATGTTTGGGACAGTTATAGTTGATGATATTATTGCTAACTTTCTTAGCTGGTCTTATGGCTATGTGAGAATTGTCCTTATTCTTAAAGAACATAAGTTGAGGTGCGAAGGTATGAAGCTCTGCAATATTTGTACTCCCCCTTTTAAATAGTTCAGGGAAAAAATAGTTAACCTAATTCCGAAGTTTATAGTTTGTAAGGTATGTGTAACTGGGCTTTCTCCCACATGTGTAAGGTTTATTTTACTACATGACAATATAACATCTGCAATGAGGAACTGTTTATGATATATTCCATGTTCCCTTAATGTCCCCAAAGTTCTGTCAGACTGGTCAGGTGAGAATAGTAGAAAGTAGTGATTTTCTTCATTTTCTACACCCAAACTCTCAGCCCCAGTCTTCAACTTGAAGTGAAGAATCCAAATACAAACTTAGGGGAAAAAACATAGAAGAGAGAGGGGAAAAGCAAGAATAGGAGGTGGTGAAGCAACCTGCGGGACCCCTTTCCTCGACTTCTCTCCCGTCACCCTGTCTCTATCACACGCTCCCGACCACCTTTACAAATGTTTCCTTCATTCCAGATTCTGTTCCCTCTGCATTTTAAATGGGGACCTCTGCTTGTAATGTTACTGTGAATTATTGAAAACATAAGGCTTTGTCATGAAGATCTGCATGTGTAGGAAACCTGCCAGTTCCTATCACGAAAGATAGTGGAGCAACAGGTGGCTGTGGGCCGCTCAGAGCTTTGGGTGGGCTCTGAGCCCAGCACTGGCACTTTCTACCGAGAACACTTGGAGCAAGTGACTCAGCCCCTCTGCGCCTCTGACTCCTCATTGATAAATTGGGGGCGATAGGATCTGCTTTAAAATGGTTGTTTCAGGGGGTAACTGGAATGATGATATCTGCAAAACATTACTGTATCTGCAGAAGAATATGCTCGAGGATTGTTGGTCCTTGGCCTCCATGGCCTCCTTTCTTTTTTTCACCGTCCCCTCCTTTGCCTTCCCACCCCTTCTCCACAGCAAGGAGAACAGCAGGAGGCCTGGTACAGGAGAATGGCACACGTGCTGGCACTTGCTGTTCTCTTGCAGGTCCACTGTGCACATTTTGTGTGCTGCTTCAGATTCTCTTCACCTAAGCAGTCTCTTAGGCCCATGGCCATGGGCTCTTGGAGAGTTCTGGACACTTCTGTGGCCCTACATCAGCCTTCCTCACTGTTGCCTCACCTTCTGCCCTCTCCAGCTGTCTCTCCCATGAAACAGGCCCTGGATTCCAGAACCACCAGCATTGCATTCAGCCCAGCAGGAGTCCAGACCAGACTACATGGGACCCACCAAGGCTTTCTCTCCCCTTACTGCTTCCATGTAACAGAACATGGATCGTGGCTTCCCCAGAAGCTGCCTACAGGGGTCAGGGGATGCTACTTCCAGTGAGCAAACTTTTAGCACAGCAAGCAGAAAATAGAACAGGTGCATGCATACGCCTGTCCTTTTTATTCAATAGATAGTCCAAGTAGTCTTTCCAGAGATCTCTGTGGGGCTGAGAGCCTAGTGGTGCTCAGTGAAAGAGCATCCTGCTCAATAATGCATCATGTTTTTGTCAGTTGTGGTGCATTCCCATCCTCCCTGCCTCACTTCCCTTTTCTTTTCAGGGCCGCTTCTCTGGGATTCTACCTCCCAATAATGCGTCAGCCCTTAAGCCTTGCTCAGTTTCAAGTGTTCAAGAAAACCTGAGCTAAGTACCTGTGAACAACATTGACCAGGCTCTCTGGCCAACTGTCTTCTGGATGAGGTTAGCAAAATAGAAGGATCCAGTGGGACAGCCAAGAGAAGCAGAAAGGAGAAGCTCAGATATCCTCTAGTACCCTAGTTCAGAGGGCATCTCGGGTAGCAGCTAAGATTTTGCCAAGTCCTTCTGGCCTGGAGGTAAGAATGATTCTTGCTGTTGCTCATCTGTGAGTCGCCTCAGGGTCTCCTCTTACTTTTATAGCTACCTCTTATTACTAAATTCCTTCTATCGCTCTACCTGGTGTGGACTCTTTTTTTTTTTTTCCAGACTGAACTGTAACATAACTAATATAACAAGAGATAATGCAAAGTTTGATTTTATTTCCCTGTGTTTGTGGTATAGCTAAAGTCAACTTCTGCTTCTATAAGATATTTTATTTATATTTCTAAAAATAACACTAAGAAAACTGGAATTTTAATGGCTTCAAAGGCAATTACCATAAGATATGTCCATGGGCTATCATAAAAAATATCAAATAATGATTTTAGCACTTTAAACGGCATTTGTTATTTGAAATAAATACTCCTTTCCTAAAGGTTATGTTTCTCAGTTAATACAAATCCAAGCCCTACCATCACCTTGTAAGCTGCCTCTCTCCCACCTTTGCAATGGCTACCAAGAGACCTGTCTGTGTGCATTTTGGGCCTAGAAGGTGGCTAATTGGTCATGTAAGGAAAAATAGAAGCGCCATGATTCAGAACATGAGATTCATCTCTTCTCCAGGTGCTCCTTTTCTCCTGCAGGGCACACAGTATTTCTAAAGTGGGCCCCCAGAACATTTGCTTTGATAGCAAATGCTCTGTAACAGCTGAGCAATGGTTAGTGAAATCTCCCCAAATAACACTGCACGCACGTAAAGCAAACGTGACGCCAGAAACACTGCAGTGTCTAGGCACAGATGTCTGCGGCCAGCCTTTCCTCTGAACCTACGCAGGGAAAGGCCCTTCCTGGGGAATGTACACCGAGTAGAAGCCTCCATTCACAGCTGGCCAGTGACCAGAGGAACAGGAGGGAATTGTTAAAGGGAGTTGGAATTCTGTGAATCTTTGGGATAATTTGTTTTCTCTTGCCAGGGACTCCCCCCCCCCACCCCCCCCACCCCCGCTTATACTCTGCAAAAAGTCAACTTGGTAGTGCTAGAAACTGTTTCACAACAATTGTCTTATGTAAGACAGACTCTGTGCTACCCCCTGGGCTGGAAAGGGGACCTGAGCCAAACATGTGACATCCTTTGGGTCGCGGTACTCCATGAACTCAGGGTTTCTGTACTGTCTTCATCATATGACTTTAGGGCTCGGGTGTCCTGTTTTCTCCACCATCCAGAAAAGAAGATGAATGCAGAATCTAGTTTCCTGGTATCTTGAGGCAACAGTCAATGGGATTCTGGGGCCTCTGGATTTCAGAAGATCTATTCCTACATACCACATGACAGTCTCATGCGGAAGAATTTCATCAGGATAAGAATCAAAATGCACCGGGGAGAAGCAGCGTCAACACTCCCTACTCACGCAGCGGCTTGGCTGCAGCCGTGCTCACACAACGGAAATACTTGGGCACTGAGAGGAAGCTAGTGGTACCTTTAAGCCTCCTGAATACCCCATACTATGGGAGTCCTTTAGGACCCCTTGCCCAAATCTCCCCATGATTTAACAATTTAAGGATTAACCGTGGGCATGACAGGTGGCCTCCAACACCCTGTCACTGCACGAGAATGGAGCTGATTCTAATTGGTGAGTTGTCATGACAATTACTAAATATTTTTAACATCACTTTTGTGGAGAAGGCACAGATACCCAAAGGGTGAATTGTCTCGGAAGTTTGCTTCATCTCGAAGCAGCTGGTTTCCCTGAGAGGCTGCATCCGTCAGGACAGCTTTTGTCAGCTGCCGAAAAATGTTGCAGGTGACACATCATCCACCTTGTGTGACCAGGAGAGATAAGGCTTTTCTGGTTTCCAACGCTTCTGCACATGACTAGATTCTTGCCCTAAGACACTTAGGTGTCCTTCGTCCCTTGTGTGGGTAGTCCCCCAGCCCCTCAGATGGCACAGAGTCATGGCCATAGCTGCGTGGTGACAGAGCCAGAGCCACGTACAGCATCTACTCCAGCTCCAGCTGTGCTGAGTGACATTGACTTGATAGCCTTGTCTGTTCCCAGAGATGAATCACAGAAAATTAGAGGCGGACAGACCCATTAGGTCGTTTAATCTACACTGTTGTTGCCGGCTCACAATCACCCCTATACTCCGTTTCCCAGTGCATCATCCAGTTTGATTTCAAATAGCAGGGGATACAGAGAGGGCTGTTTCTTTGACATTTTCACTGAGAATTCTTGCTCACACATCCAACTAAATGCTCAATATTTGATGTTTATTTACTTTATTTTATGATTACAGCAATATCATGGTTATTCACTTGCCCCAAGCTGTAATAAATAAATAAATAAATAAATAAATAAATAAATAAATAAATAAATAAATAAAAAGCATCTGAAAATAATTAGAAAGTGAGGAATCTCTCTTGACTAGCAAACACCAGTTTCAGGAAAAATCAAAGAACTTGGTGGAGAAATGATAAGCAGTGCCTCTGCGTTACCTCGTTTCAACTTCTTTTATTTTAGTTTTATGCTTATTTAGCATTGTTCAGCTTCTGCTTTCATTAACAACAGCTAGAACTATGACTAAGCAGCACCATTGGTTTGAGTTTCCAGGTTTACTTCTGTTTCAATTTTTAAATCGGATTATTCGTCCCCTTGCTTTCTATATTGTATTTAAAATTCTGCCTCATTATTGTGATTTAATTAAAGAATATTCTAAATATTCTAATGGTTTCCCTACTCCATGTCCTAATCTTTCTTTGTTTTTCTTTTTCAAATTTAACTAACCACAAGCATAAAAAGAATAAGCCTGGTCCATTGTTTCTGGACAGTCTTGTCTAAGAAAAATATCTGTGTGTTTTTTATTTATGTCCGGGCAGAAGGCTTCTTCATGAATACCACCCAAGAACACATTCGTGGCCAACTTACCTTAATTTGTCCCTTCAAGCAAGGCTCACTGCACACAGACCGTACCATTCCACTCTTGTTCATCTGGATTTTGTAGTCATCAATGTTCAACACCCCTTCGTGCCAGGTTCCCACGTGTACGTAGTCATAGCGATTAGCTTCAGTGTACTGAAGATTCATGATATCATACCTACAAAGAAAACAGTGTGTGTGTCTTGGAGAATATGGACATAATGTAGAAAACAAAGAATTTTGGTAAATATAGAATAATAGAGAGAAGGGAGATAAAACTTAGAATCATCCCATGTCCTAACACCAGCTACTGTCAATATTTTAGCTTATTTGAAATGTTTCCTCTGATTTTCCAAAATGTGTATTCTATTCTCAGTTTCTGTGTTTCATCCATATTTGCTTAAGAATATAGTACTCATGTTTTCTCAATGCTTATTTTCCAGAACAATAATTCTATGTGTCTATGTGTGCTGAGTTGATCATCTCTTCCAAATCATTATTCACTATGTTTTTGTTCAAACAAGTAACAAGTCTTGGGAACATTAATTTCTTAACTTGATTTCTTTTATTCCAATTTTTTTTTTTACATTCAGTTGCCATTTTTATTACTCTGGGTTGATAGAGGTGAATTTCATCAAGTTTGAAGCCTATTTTACATGCTATTAGAGCAAGAAATCTGAGGCATGTATCTTTAATTAGCAAGGATGTTGGGAACTTAACATCTTGAGCATTGACATTTAAACTGGTCTCGCCCCTGGTTAGGGCAAACATTTCAGTGATTTCAAATGCCACAATGCTACGCACAGAAAAAGCTACACTTAGAAATCTTTGCTGCAGCTGGAGTGTGTTCTGGGGCCTCGTTATTTCCCCATGGGCAGTGGAGAGCATTCCCCAGTGCGGTGGAAACAGTACAGGACTTGGCATTGAAATGTGTAAGCTGGAATCCCTTTTCTAACTTTTTAACAGTAGGTTAAACCACTTAGGAATGTCACTAAACTCCTTAAGGATCATGGATTTCTTGTGGGGATTTATTAACATAAGGTATGTAAAAAACTATTTCACAATTGGAGCAAAGGCTTATGTAGAAAGCAATATCAATATATCATTCACATGTGTATTTCTATGAGCACCTTAAAACACTCTGGTTATTTCCATTACTGCAAGAAAACTGGAGAACATCTTTGCATTGGCATAGCTATTTGTCTCCCAGTCATTGAAAATTCTCTGGCATCCTTCAATCTTCTCTGCATGTTGTTATTTACCCCAAGTAAATTATAGCTCATGTGGCAGTTTCCCGGAAACGAAGGCCAGGCTCTCCCTCTGACTCTGCAAAGTGGGACTGTTTCCTGCGGTGCCCGTACAGGGTTTCCACCCTCCTGCGCTAGGGTGTCAGAGGCATTGCCCTTGACCCAAAGAAATAAATGGCAATTAACCAACACAAATTTCTCTTCTTCAGCTCTTCCACTTCCTCCCAATTCCCCCTCCTAATCCATCCTGGAATTCTTTCTAAACCTGATTCAGACTCAGAATCCTCCTCAGCCCAGCACTCCAGGAAACTACTACCAATCAACCTTCATTGGTGTCTGAAACCTATTGCCTTAGTTCCTGCTCTTCACGTGCAAATACACTTTGTCTACCCAAAGGGTAGCTAGTGGTTTCTTCACATCCAGATTCTGGCAATTTCCATAAATAACAACTCCCTAAAGGGAAAAGGGAGACTCTGAGAGAATGAAGGATGTTTTTTCCTTACTTTTTCAGGTGAATAAAACTTACCTAGAGTTTCATTTCTTGACTCTTCTGACTTTTGGCTACTAGCAGGTCCCTATTCTCTCGATTGCTAAGACATACCAGGATGTTCTTCAGAGTGGCTGCCTAAGCGATATCCATGGGGCTATTAACTGTGGGCTGATGGTTCATACTCATTCTACTGATCAATGATACTAATCTACACCTCCAATAGTTTTCCATTTTAAACTCATAGCACCTGCTGTGAACGTTCACTAGGAACAGTTTTCTTTTTCACTTCCTTTAATTTTTATGTTTTTCTCCATATTACATCATTAAATCTTATGTACTTTCCATGAAGGCTTAAATGTGATGCTAGCTTTAGAGTCCATTTTTCCTATAAATTAGTTTTCTAAGACTTTTTTTTCCGACTTCTTCATTTGCTCTTCAAAGAAAAGATATCAGTTCACACTTTATTAGCATGTAGAAACTGAAAACTCACAATATTTAGGTATGAAAACACATTTTGAAAAAGTCCCCAAAGCCATAGGAAAAAAAAATACTGAAAGACACCAAGGGAAAAGGGCTGACTTACTACAGAGAGGCCATCGCCTTGGCTGTGTGAGCGACAGACACGGGACGCAGCTCTTCTCGGCTGGTCCAGGTCCCTTCTTGGCACATTGGCATTGACTTGGAATATCCTCATACTGTAAATTATAACTTTACAATGTCTTCTCAATCATCAAGTTTCTGTGACATGATGGTTAACTAAAATAACTACAAGAGGAGCCGAAAGCTTGGGTGGTGTTATAACAGGAAATGAAAGCAGAGGGAAGTGGTTGAAATAGAAATTGATCACAAATAAAGATGACCAATTGTTTTTTAATAAAGGAAGTGTTTTTTAAAGACTTTATTTGTTTATTTTTAGAGAGAGGGGATGGGAGGGAGAAAGAGAAGGAGAAAAACATCAATGTGTAGTTGTCTCTTGCACGCCTCCAACTGGGGACCAGGCCTGCAACCCAGGCATGTGCCTGCCCTGTCTGGGAATTGAACTGGTGACCCTGTGGTCCACAGGCTGGCACTCACTGGGCCACATCAGCCAGGGTTGAAGATGATTAATTTCAAACACGAGGAAATGATCCTTGAAAAGGGACCCAGGGGAAGGCTCATGATTTAAGTATGTAATTAAAGATGGAGAAGAAAGCTAAAATTGTGTGCCAAAATTTTGGATAATTTACCTATGGAGTGTCTAAAATGCATCTGGCCCTGTGCCGGGCACATTGGGTATGTTATCTTATAGAGTCATGCAGGGAGGTTTCCATTCTAAATCTGACCCTTTACAGAGCTTAGTTCCCAGTGGAACCCAGCATTATACCAATGGGTTTAAAGGGGAGAGTGGTGGTCTGAACCTCAGACCCACCAGTGTTACTTCCTTCTGGTGTCACTTCCCAAGGCACTCCGCACCTGCAGGCTTTCCATGTGTCCATGTGTCCGGACCCTCGATCATTTCATCCATCTCACTCACATTTTCCCCTAAACCTGCTCCCACCTAATGGAAGCTTAGAAGGAATCTAATAAACTCATGGTTTAATTGCTGACAATTGTTTACATAAATTGTCTTTCCTAGAGCTGTTGGATTTTAACAAGGAGAATCTGCTTGGGCCTCTCAAGGCACTCTCCAAATGTAGAGCTTTAAGCTTACATGAAAAGAAGAGATATGTGGAGACTTATTTGGGGTCTCTTACAGTAGTCTCTCCCAAACTGTCTTACAGTTCCTTTGAAATGACATTAAGAATGCTGCCAGCAGCCTTGCCTAATTTTAGGATGAGCTAAAAGGCAGAGTGATGTGGCAAAAAGACTACAAGCCTCAGACTCAGAATGCACTGCTTCCATCAGCTACTCTTGGAGTGATTTTAGGTAAGTTTCTTAGTTTCTCTGACACTGAGTGTTATCCGCTGTGAAAAAGGGAAGTGGTATGCTTGTAGCAGTGAGGATTAAATGACTGGATGTTCCATTCTAACACAGCATATGCTTTCCTAAAATCTCTCTTTCTGCAAAATCATCTACTGAAAGATAGTGCTTACGAGGAAAAAAAAAAAAAAAAGGATTGTGGGCACACTGTGCAGCAGCCAAGCTGAGAGCCTTTTTCCTTCCTGTTGCAAGTCTGAATTCCTATTTCACTCTTCTGATTATGCCTGGTCTCAGAAAATTCACATAAACACAACTATTCTTTATACTGACATCATTCTCCATGTACCAATGAAATATGAGCTAACTAGCATTTTAAAACAAAGTGTTGCAGAATAGACTAAATATAAAATGACTTGGGGAAAAATATATATATTAGGTATATTTCATTTTCCTCTCCTTCTTGATTAATTCTATGGAAGCCCTAGCGACTCAATACCAGAAAGAAAATTCTTCCCCTTCTGTTCCAGGCAGAATATAAGTTAGCCTGAGAATAAAGGATACCTGTGCGTGACTTTATTGTCTTCATACATTAAGCTCTAAGCAGGTGTGATACTAAAATATTTGACAACCTGTATCGCCTTGTACCAATCAATCAGAAAGCACCTCTGGCCTGGCCCCTGCAGAGCCAGGGAGGGCTCCGCTGGTTAGTTGTAATCTCCTGAGTTCCCTGGACTTGCAGGGTGGTCCCAGGCATCCTGGGGAAAGGGATAGAGTGAGAGCCGGGGAGAGGTGGAGTACTGGCAGGAGGCAGGACTGGGAGAGTTTGCAATAAGTCTTGCTATGTTTTAAAATGTAATTTCCATCTAACATTAGCCTTGTCTCTTTAGCTTTCTAGTTGTATCTGTGCTCATGACACCCAGAAACCACGGAACCAAAGGGAGCCAGTGTCACCAGCCATCTGGCTCAGGGAGGCTCACAGGTTATTTGATCCAGTATGAGAAAGACAGCTTTACCTTCCAGGAGCGTCCCCTTTCTCATCAAACCACACCTCCTCTCCAGACACACCGATGAATGTGGACTTGATGAGGAAGTCCAGGAGTTTCCTGCCATCGATGGGCTTCATGGCATCGCAGAGGCCCACGTGGCCGGGGCAGAGGGCATGGTGCATGTTTTGCAGCCCGTGGGCCATGGCATAGATGGCGTTGATGACAAAGCCCATCTTGCTGTCCTGGACGTAGTTTTCTTCTAAGCTTTCATTGCCTGTAACATAAAAACAGACGGCTGTCCAGGTTGCAGTAATGGAGTCTAGGCCTGCGTATATAATTCTCAAATGCTTTTCAAGGCTGGAAAGCCAAGCTCACCTGTTCAAGCTTTGTGACTAGCTCTAGTATATTCTGCCTGCAAATAGTTCATTCAGTTTTATCTTCTAAATTCAATAATGGTTTTATAACACATAAGACAGATTCCATAGAGGTGAAAACTGGAAAAAAAATATTTTTCTAATATTGCAAGGAAATCTTTAAGGAGCAATGGGAATAACTATTATTACCTCTTGGCTAACAGAGGCTTATATTAAAATTCTCCCTGTATTGCGGTACTGGAAAAATATTTTTGATATCCTCCATAAAAATCTGCAATCCATAGTAAATCAATTTATATATTACTTAAACCTTGATATTTTCTTTGGGTGATATCCAGGGCCACAAAAAACCCTGATTAAGACGAAGGGCTAGATAATGTAAATCTCTTCTTATACATGAATGGCAGTACAAAAATATTTGAATCAGATTTACTAATTGTTAGAAACAGGTAAAATATTTCTTGATGGAAGAGTCATACTACACATTTTAGCCTTTAGCTTTTAGCCATAAGCGGTGAATATGAAAAACACTGCAATCATTTGTACCTCTGTCACAGGTGATCAAAGGGTCCCCAGTTACCAAGCAGTTTCATGAGACTAGTATTGCATTATACAAGGTCTGACACAAATAATGCCCCCTTTTTATTACAAACTCTTTTATTACAAAATCATAAGCATGTAATTGTGTAACACAACAGCATCACACTCAAGCACACTACATGATGTTTTAGGTGAAATGTTCAAATTAAAACTATAAATTCTTCCACCCATATTATTACACTACCAACCACATTCAAGCAGGTGTTACTTCTGCCAGACCCTGTATATGAGCTCAGCTGGAGAGTCTCAACCTCAACACCTAACAAATGGATGAGAAATTCTGGGATCAATTAGGTTTCTGATATAAAAGTAACAGGTTTGGAAAACAAAATGAATTCGGATGGAACACACCACTGGCATAGTTCAGAGATTTTGTCCTTTTTCCCAGAAATTTGCTTCTCTCTGCAGTGAGCTTTTCCCACCCCCGTGGCTGACAGTGAGGAAGGGTCTATGCATTGTGTGGTCCAGGCGCTGGAAGGCAAGAAAGTCAAGAGAGTTCATCTGCATGTGGGTTGAGAAAGACATAAGGCTTCTGGCACCCCAGCCAGCTGACCTTTTTGTTCCTGCCTCAACAGATCACTGGACACTAAGGTTCCTGGACAGGAGAACAGCATAAAGTATAAAGGGAGTTAGAGAGCTTGGAGTGTTTAAAAGAAATGGTAAAGAGTGTTGACTTTGTTGTTGAGCTTAAGCTGAATAAGACATTTGTAAAGAATTTTATTTAAAGGTTAATCTATTTAGATAAAGTTGAAAATGTGAAAAAGATATATGTTAACCTTTCCAAGAGTGATGTACCCAAAATACCCAGGCCAGGTGAAGAGGGGAACAATTTCAATTTTAACCTATCTTCAGCCGTTGCTTAATAGGAAATTGTTAAAAGTGTGAACTGTTAAAGTATCACTTTTCCAGTTGGAAAAAGGACATTTTCTGAAACAAAATAAGGAGTAAGAGAGACAGAAAGGACATTTTTAAAATCAAACCATACACAATAAATACAGAAACTTCTGTAAAACAGAAAGCAAACATTCTTCCTGCAAAAACCATATAAAGTCATTGAAATAGGGTAACTTACGTCTGTCACCCAGAGCCCTGGCTCTCACTGTTTTTTACTTTCCCTCTCTTTTATACTAGCATATAAAAGAGACAAATTGGTGCACTGTGTTCGACAAATTTTCTTGTTGGTGCCTTTAAAGACAGGCCCAAAACTCCAAGTGTTAGAGCTAAATGTCAAAAGCTGGTAGCATTAGTGAAATTAGCAGAACTTCAAGAAAGAAAGGAAAAACATAGACAAAAATTGAGCGGCAGAACAACCTTCAATGCAGCAGCCACTTAAAGGATTCCAGTCAATACTAAAACCATCCCCTTCAAGCTGCGGCCATTAATGCCGGTCCAGGAGCAAACTGTAAGAAAATCTGAGAATAAACACATGGAATTTTTTACCAAATAGAAAATTCTCTATTTTGGACAAGCTTGTGGACACTGAGTTTGTTTTTGTTTTTGCTTTGGGAACTGTTATTGAAGAATTATTGTATATTTTTTAAAATTATTTTGGTATCCCCAGTAACATGTCCTAAGCCATGGTTGTCTAGTGGACGTGTTATTCATCAGCATTGAGACTATGAGAGTTCTTGGCTTTCTCTGAGGTCAGTTTTCCTTTCGGGCCTCATTGAGGGCGCTTACATAACTTATTGTCCAAGCTGGGTCACTTTTGAAAGTGAAGCAAGTGATAATTACTCGTATTCTAGAAACACAGGGGTACACAAGGCAAATTAGCCAGAAGGCGACTTGAGTCATGACACCCTCTAAATGTATCTATTTACTGATGTTATTATGGGTGAGATTTATGTCTAACTATATTATGTATATAGAATAATGTATAATAAAATCTATAAAATGTGACTATGTATACATAAATGTATATATGTGTATATGAATGCATATAGATACAATGATCAGTAATTATTAATTTTAACAAATTTACACTTATGTAATTTTAATGAGAAATTAACATACCCATAATAATACTCGCTACTATTTGTGCGTTTGTTAGATACAATAGTCACATAACAAGTTCACAATAACCCTGCCAAATAGACACCCACCTCACCATTTACACATGCGGGGAGGGCAGCAGCATGCAGATGCCTGCTTGACCCTTGGGACCGGTTACTCTGGGCAGCAATGCAAGTGCAGATATAGAAATCTACAGAGGTGGTGCTTTTCTGGTGACAGAGGACAGGGCATCGTGCTCTCACCAGTATGGCTGTCAAGCTGGTTTGAAATTTCTCCCTGGGATTGTGCCAGATGTGCACAGCTGTCTCTCTAACTAAAAGCACTGGCATCCAATTTATCAACAGCCAACGATGGCAAAGAAGCCCATCCTGTCGGTATTTATCATACAGACAGCCAGGAAGCCAGGCACATGTTTTTAAGGAATATTTGTAACTCACACCATTTCCAAAATAAACACAAAGAGCTTGTGTGTTTGTCAATCTGACATGAGTCCGTGAACTTCCCTGCCCTGCCAGTTCTGCTGGGTCTGCCGGTGAGGAGGATGCTGCCCCAGCTCAGTAGAAACTAACATTTGGGAAAGAGCGACAGTGAGTTAGAAAATCATCTGGACTTCACAGGACCATTCTCTTTGCCGCAGTAACGGTCAAGAGATAATGTTGCAAGGACCTATCATCAAACCAGCAGAATATGTTACAGATTTTCCTACTGCCCAAAGATCCTATATCTTCATGATTAGTGAATAGAATATCCAAACTAATAACATTATAACTTGGTAAGAAGGTGAAAACATTTCAATTCCCTGGGGTTTAGTGCCTTTTCATAACACTAGTCTCAGTGTTATTAGTGAGAAAGGGATTTTATGATTCATTTTCTCTGGTGCATTAACTGTTATAGACCACGAGGGTATCATTAAAGCATTACCTTTTCTAATACACTAAATGGAATCAAATAATTGAAGTTGCCTGTGTTTATTTACCTTCAAAAGAATACCTTCCTAACTACTTCACAGTGGATTGTGAAAATAGCTACCTTGATTCTAAAACAGTAATCTCCTTCTTTTTGTGCACACACACCAAGAGCTATAAATTGCTGCCCGGAAGCAGGAGCGTGAAGGGCCCTGGGGAGGAGAAGGGACGGGCTGTGTGCCTTCTGAAAACAGGACACCCGTGGTGGCTGGGCGAAGGGTCAGCAATGCCACCCACTGATGTGCAGGCCCGCTGCTCAGCCAAGCAGTAGGGAAGAAAGACTCAGGCTAGACACGTGGACCCCTGGGACTTAGGGGCGGTTCTGCTGTGACGTGTCAACAATACATGCCCGGTAGGCCATGGAACTTGGAAGAGGGTCTGTGCGTCCCTCAGTCTCAGTTTCCTAATTTAAAAAAAAGAACACAAGTGCGTCAGATTATCTTCTTGAAGTTCTCTTTCCCCTCTAAAACATTTACACTTTGCTTCTCCAATCCAACATTTATTGGTACTTAACAAGGCCATTCACATATATTATCTTTTTTAATCCTTGCACAACTCTATGAGCATACATTCTGTTACCACACAAAGGAAGAGACTAAAGTATAGAGAAATTAAGTCAGGGTTAAGGAGATGTGCCTTTCTTTTCCTTCAGTTAATGCTTGTGTGTGTGTGTGTGTGTGTGTGTGTGTGTGTGTGTGTGTGTAGAGACTTCTACTGAGTAACACATTAGCCTCTTACCTCACCTAATGGGAAGAAAAGAGGATTCATCGTATTGGCATATTAAGAAAAATAAGCTGGGCATGCTCAGCTCAGTCCCAGTCTCTCATCTGGAGCCAGGCACTTGACAGTCCTCAAAGTTTCTGGTGAGTTCTCTGGCATTTGGCACATGTGGGCTATGCTTATGCAGCTGAGCCAGTAGGCCGGACAGGTCCATCTGTCTAGTTCTGGGGTCAAGTGTGGACAAGTCTATTGTGGCCACATATCTAATTTATGTCCAGAAGCAAGTTTGGATTTTTGTTTTTCACTTTTTGGTTAACTTTTGAAATCACATACGGTAAATTGCAGAAATCTTTACTGCACAAATCAACAACTATTTTACACACCCAGGTAACCGCTGCCCAGATCATGACATACAGCATTTAACAGAGGCTTACATTTATTTAGGGTTTCCTTAATTTATCCCAGCAATGTTTTATAATGTTTCAGCATGCAGATCTTGAGTATTTGGTATTTATGGTACTGCTACAATTAGTGTCTTTGAATTCTTTTAAATTATTTGTTGCTAGTACATAGAAACACTACTGATATTTGTATTTTGGACT